CACACTGTATACTTCTTTGAAAGTCATATGCTATTAACATTTTTTTTTTTAAAATTTCAGTTACTGTTGTCCATGAAATTCTCTTGTGAAAATCTCTGGAACTGAAAGAATGAATTCCTAGTGTGGGTTCCAGGGCCCTTTATGAGGAAAAACAAGAATAAACCCACTGCCTCCCCAACAAGCGTGTGGTAAGAATGGACTAACTGGGTGCTTTATTCAAAGTCAGAGTGCATCTACTTGAGGGGCAAGGCACCAACAATCTGCATACAATTAAATCAGACACATAAAAACAAATAAGCACACAACACAAAGGTTCTGGAACAAGACTAACATTCAGGGGTGGACGGACAACCATAACTTTTTGCCAGATTTAAGCTGGTGAACATGAAGGAGAAATAATTAATAACACACACACAAAACACCAAAAAGCAGGGTTCTGAAACCACATAATAATCAGGCACAATACTGCGAATACGGCTTTCCTGCACTCATTTTTTCCCCGAACAGGAAAGCCCCATTATTAATTGTGTGTGGGTGACATCATCATCAACATCACGTAGCAGGTCCTTTGCAGAACATCGCTTGCATCACAGTCTACCTGAAAGAAACTCGGTCTCTCACCAACTCTCCTGCCTCGTGCACTTTCATATCCAAGCAGTCACCTACATCCTGCGCCCATCTTCATGTTAGTCGACCCCTGCTCCTCTTTCCTGGTACATGCCTTCTGCTACTAATTTTTTTCCGATCTGCTGTGGCACTTAATATGGTCAAAATATTTCAGCTTCTGAGACAAAATGACATTTATTAGCCAATCTTCCTCAATGTTCAGATCTTTTAAAATGTCAGTATTTCCTTTCTTCTTTGTTCATGGTATTCTGAGAATCTTTCTATAACATTTGAGCTCAAATGCCCTTATTTTCTTCCGTAAGAACTGGGAGATAGTCGGTGACTCACATCTGTATGTCGCTGCAGGAAAGCAGATGCAGGCTTGAAAATTTCAACTTTTATTTCACTGCTCGTGCTTAGCCATATACTTTTAATGCTGTTAAAGTGTTTTTTCAACAAATCTGAGTTTAACATACTGGTATGAGATTGTTTAATTATACATTAAGTCTTGCAATCTTGTTTTTAATACTTGATTTACATTTTTTAAAATCATGTGCCATCTCCACAGTGAAAGTTGGCTGCAGTGCACTCATAGTAGGCCTGGGAATATTATGGCACAGTTCTCGTAAAACTGCCAAACTGCCACAAGAAGGCTAAAAAAATATTTAAAAAACAAAAACTGTCCTACTGCCATGAAAAAGTAAAAAAAAAAAAACACTCTTTGTTGTGGAAATAAAACCTTAGTATGTCAAGAATCATAAATAAATAATTTACTGAATAATGAACAAAACATGACTAACATTTTAATGAATCTGCAGTATAAAGTCTGAAATAAGTAGAATCACAGCAAATATATAACAATCAAAAACTCTATCAACCTGCGTCAAAACTCATGCTAAATCTGAATATGCAGAAATAAATCTCTGGGGAAGTCTGGAGACAATCAGAAAAGTATCGCAAACAAATTTTTCTTCTTCTTTATCATTAGTCTGAGTGACATAAATGCATTATGCCTGTTTAAAGCAAACAGATGGACAGACAAACAAACTGACATGCACTGAATAACTCACAGATGCAGCTGGCCTGGCATCATAAATCTGTTCCTGCAGCAAGATGCTATTGTCATCTGGAGGCAACAGGTGTGACTTCCAGTGTAGTAACTATAGCTTTCTAATGTCATGTTGTATAGTGTGTTGTCCCAGACATGGACAGCAAGCAAAAAAGTTCAAAAAACATCTGCTTGCAGCAGAGATGTGGTTTTTGAGAAGAATGCAAAGAACATCATGGAATAGTAGAAAAACAAATTAAGCAGTGCCCTCGAGACAGCTGAACAGCCTAAACCGACTGGAGAAATTAGATATCGACAGTTAGTGGTTTTTGGAGATTTTATGAGAAGGAATGGCCTTGAGAACCTAGTTAGGAATACCATGATAGGTGTGAAAAGAGGAAGGAGAAAGATTAATATCCTGAAGGATTGGCCACATGGGGATGGGACGAGACATGAGCAATGACCTAGTTTGTGATTCTGGTGATAGTGTGAGAATGTGAAATATGACGGCCTACACTTGGTTACATCTGACAAGATCGTTGGAAAAAGAGCAGGAGGGAGACAAAGAGATCAATATCTGGATGGCTTGGTCATGTGGATAGGGTGAGACAAGAGCATTAGCCTGATCTGTGATTCGGTTTATCGTGTTAACTGGCGAAACATGACCACCGACGGTTATCAGAGGGCACACGATGACGATGAGTGCCTCCTCCTATTTAATTCCTCTGCATCAACAGTACCAAACAAACCATATCAATTTGTTTGTCATGTCAAATCTGAGCAATTTATGTTCACCAAGAATCTGATTTCTGTGTCACTGCACTACAGACATGAGTTTCTTAGCCGCAAATGTGGCAATATATTTAAAAAAAAATTACATAATCATCATCACCAGCCCATGTGCTTTCTGTGTCACTGCACAACAGACATGAGTTTCTTAGCCGCAAATGTGGCAATATATTTTAAAAAAATTACATAATCATCATCACCAGCCCACGTGCTGACTGGTGTGGGCGATCATGCCTCTCCCCAACTTGCAATTTCTAACAGCAAGTCAAACCAGTGGAAGTCAGGAGGGAACCCACCTTGTATTTGTCCCTAGAAAATCATGCCTGTATACAAACTGATTTACACTAAGTATTAATTGATACATCCGTATATTTCTGCATGCTACTTTTTTTTATCTTTACAAGTTGTAGTGACAGATGACTGCCTCTGATTACATTATCAATAGCTCTTAGATTCTAAAAACTTTTTTTTTAAAATGTACGTTAAAAGATAAATAAAGTTTCTCTTGTACATGCAAAATTCACATTTATACTAAGGTTTTACATTTAAACTATAGTATTACCTAAATTTCTTTTAGCAAAGGCCATGTGGTCATCAAGTCTAGTCCACGGCTTCCTGTCATGTGAACTGACAATCATTTTTGATACCGATGGTCTTCCATACTATGATGCCAGACTGTCCAAATTCACTTTTATCTTTCTTCCCTCTATTTAATGCTGTGACTCCAGTTTTCCCTTTCTCGTAACATATCTAAAGAATGTGGACTGTCTTCTTCTGATGTGGGCGTTCAGTATTCTTTGTGAGTCTCAGTCTAGTCCTACATCCCTATACTGTTTAGCTGCACTGTCAAAAACTGCCTGTATTTACCACTTGTGCCTTGAAGGCAAAGGGGTCTTTGAGCCTGAGAATTTAAGACCGCATGGCTAGTGCTGTTGCCACAAACTGTACGGGGAAGGAATTTTATTTTTGCCCTAACAGAAAAAAACCAACCTGTAACCTTACTGAGAATTTGAACCTTGGTCTCTCAAATGAGAGCCCAGTGTTCTCATCTGTTTGGCTAACCACTCCTTTCAGCCACACTACTGGAAGAAAAAGGATCAAGTCTATTTTAACTTCACTTGATGCTAAAATGTTGCCACAAGAAGAATAGCATCCAAACTATATTGTTTAACAGAACTACTTAAAAAACTAATTGAATTAAGACACAGTAGTGAACCTAAGCTTGCCCTGGTGAAACAGGCAATTACTTTTGAGAGTGGTTGATTTTGTATTTCAGGTGTAAAGGATTCATTTATTTGCTTTACATTCTTGTTTTGTTACTGTAATACGCACCAGATGAGATACAGCATAATATGCCTGCTATAAACTGTGCAATCTATTGTTTGCAATTTATTTATTAAAAATTAGGACACAGAAACATTGATTTATCAAATGAGTAGCATAATCTAAATAAAGTTTATGAATAAATGTTACCACCAGAAGAATAGCATCCAAACTATACTGTTTACCTGAACAATTAGCAAAAACAAAGAGTCAAGTCTAACCCAACTGAGGTAAACAATTTGCCACAACAAGAAAATCAATAAATTTATTTACTGTTTTAAAATTGTATAAAATAAAACTGGACATTTCCAATTTTGATTGTCTAATTTTACATATATATTTTTTATATATGTATATAATTTTTGGCTAGTTATATACAAACTGACTGCTAAAACCAGCCTGATAAAACAATGGATGGATGCAAATTATTTACAGTCACTTCTCAGGGCTACAAACAGCAATGAACATTTTAAACTGCTAATGTATATCTAAAACAGAAATATACAGAACTGCAAGAAAACTCACTGTTAATATGTAATTATACCTTATTTAAAAAAAAAAAAATCCTGGTATAAAAACAAATATATTTTAAAAAAAGGTTCTCAATTTGTTACCATAAAGCAGATGAAATTTAAAGAGAAAATGTGGAACAAACTAGAAAAAATACCTGCTACCATTCTAGTGGCTGTGGTACTGAAATTTTTGATTTATTCACATAAGACTATTGTTGACAGACTCTCTGCCAGCAGTCCTTCTGTTTCTCTATCAGCTTATCTATCTTGCTATCTATGTCTCACTCTTTCCCTGGCACACTGTGTCTCTCTCATTCTCTCTGTTAGTCTCTCTCTCATTCTCTTTTGCTCTGTATATCTATGCCTCTCTCTTATTTTCTATCCATTTCTGTCTCACTCTGTTTATCCCTCTCTGTCTCGTTCTGGTTGTCTATGTCTGACTGCTCTCTCTCTCACTCTCTCTCTCTCTATCATCTTCTCTTTTACTCTGCCTCTCTCATTCTCATCCATGTAAAAAAAAAAATCCATAATATGGAAAGCACTAATAAATAAGAAATCTATCACACACACACATACAAACAATCTGCATGCATGTAAAAATTGCTCTGTTGAAATATACAAACCATTTAAGAAGGCAAACCATAGGCAATTCTGTTAATTATTCTCCACTACATGTTGTTATCTTTCCGTCGTGAGAAGGCAAACAAAAACAACCAATAGTTTCAGTGATTAACTTTATCTATGGTATTCCTTAGTGAGACACCGTTTGACACAGCATTTCTTTGTTCAATGAGGGGCCGCTGTACGCTGCTGATATCTTCCGAAGCAGAAGAGTCATTCACTTCACTGTCTGACTCACTTCTTGCATCTTTTTCAATCTGACACAACAGAGAAAAGATTATACAAATTAAATAACATTGATCTTAATGAAATGTATTTTTTAGACTAGTGGTGAGCGTCTGTGGGCTCTGGGCACAATTCTAGACTCAGGGGAAAGACAAATGACTGAATAACCAGTCTGGCTGTGTGTGTGTGTATATAGGTATTATGTATGCATGAATGTATCAGTGCGCGTGTGTGTACATATATATATAGGCACATTTCGGCAATGGTGCTTGATCAGACCCTACGGTTAGTATCAGCGTCAATTTGTGTAATTCTGTAAGATTTATCACAATTAGGTTGTGATATACGGTCTCCATAGACAGCATCCTGTTCAAGGTGTTTTCTTTGTTCCGATAACATTTCATGGCTGTAGGGAAGACAGTCAGGTCAGATGGCTGTAATGTTCTAAGCCCGTTCCCCTGCAATCAGTGAGGGCACTGCTGGGAGGACCATTTACTCACCCTCACAAAACTGCATATCAATATGCATTTAAGTGAAATAACTAGAGCTCATGCTCATTTGCGGCTCAGGTCGGAGGGAGAACTGTCAAACAAGACAGCGGTGCCTTCACCTTGAGGACAAGCAGTTTGACTGTGGAGGTCATAGCAACAACTAACAACTAAAGCCTGGCTAGTGCCACAGACTTTCACACCAACTCAATAAATATGCTCAAGAAAATCGAGAAGGGTTGCATATGAAGACAATGTGTGGAGTCCTTGAATAGATCCAGGCTGACAAAAATCAGCTTTTTTTTTTGGTTTTGGGGCATTCTGATGTAAAGTGCAATGAACGAGCTGACAGACTTGCAAGTGATGCTCACATGGGAAATGAACGAGTAATGGACAAGGCTGATATACTGAACGCCCTCAGATAGGCGGCTCAATTATATGAATCAAGCATTGACTGTGAATCTGCAACAGTGACAAGATTACATGAACACAACATCAAAAGGGTTAAAGAGCGCTACACAGGGCCCAAAGAAGAATAGTAAACCAACATAGAACTGGTGTCATAGGCCACTACACACTAAGGGAGATACTGAACAGGGGATCCGAGCACTTATGGACTGGATGGTTCGATGTGTGAAGATAATAATCTGTCCACAAACTAACTAACCAACTGTGATGATGTAAATGTAATGTACAAATTAAGCACAAACTCACAGTTCCAGTTCTAAGCTTCTCGAAGACGATGTGCAATATAAAATAGGTCCACATTATATGCAGCAACTGCAGCACAAAAAGCAGCCCATTGAAAAACCAGTAGGCTGGAAATGTCGTCACATAATCATGAATCTCTACAGCAGATGCATTCAGAACCCTGAAATACAAGCAAGAATGAAATTACCAATAATATCTTTTCTGCTAAAGCACTACCATTTTTATAGACTGAAAGTTTATATATCATGCCCAGTAAAACAACAAACAATGAATTGCTGACTTTCAACTCAGGATTAGCTGCAAACCCGTAGGTTTCATTTGGATATATCTAGCTGCATTTCTTCTTCTTGCGTTCATCAGCAGAAAGTTCTGGGTGCTCATCTACTTCTGGACTTCAGTCTTGTTCCAGAACATGAGTACTGCATGCATATCCATTTTACAGATCTGGTTAATTTGTGTGCAGACATTTGGTTCCTTGCCTCTCAGGCAGATGTACTCCGACTTCGAAAGAAACCCCTAATAATTTGACGCTTACGACATGCTCGTTAGGGAGGAAGTGGGTCTATTCTTGTTTTACCCATATTATGGTCCCAGAACGCACATGGGGAGTACAGCTGCATCTGATATTTGTTTCCTATCACTATATATAATAAACAATTTTGATCCTCCAAAGAAGGTGGAATCTAGCCACTGTGCTGCTGTGGCTTCCGGGGTGAGTGTTTTGGCAACCTACAGACCATGGAGCTGTGCCAATGGCTTTGGGAACAGTGTCGCTAGAACTGTCAAGTCCTATATGGGAGTGGCAGTCTATGCTACATGCTAGAACTGTCAAGTCCTATATGGGAGTGGCAGTCTCTGCTACATGCTAGAACTGTCAAGTTCTAAATGGGAGTGGCAGTCTCTGCTACATGCTAGAACTGTCAAGTCCTATATGGGAGTGGCAGTCTATGCTACATGCTAGAACTGTCAAGTCCTATATGGGAGTGGCAGTCTATGCTACATGCTAGAACTGTCAAGTCCTATATGGGAGTGGCAGTCTATGCTACATGCTAGAACTGTCAAGTCCTATATGGGAGTGGCAGTCTATGCTACATGCTAGAACTGTCAAGTCCTAAATGGGAGTGGCAGTCTATGCTACATGCTAGAACTGTCAAGTCCTATATGGGAGTGGCAGTCTATGCTACATGCTAGAACTGTCAAGTTCTAAATGGGAGTGGCAGTCTCTGCTACATGCCAGAACTGTCAAGTCCTATATGGGAGTGACAGTCTATGCTACATGCTAGAACTGTCAAGTCCTATATGGGAGTGGCAGTCTATGCTACATGCTAGAACTGTCAAGTCCTAAATGGGAGTGGCAGTCTCTGCTACATGCCAGAACTGTCAAGTCCTATATGGGAGTGGCAGTCTATGCTACATGCTAGAACTGTCAAGTCCTATATGGGAGTGGCAGTCTATGCTACATGCTAGAACTGTCAAGTCCTATATGGGAGTGGCAGTCTATGCTACATGCCAGAACTGTCAAGTCCTATATGGGAGTGGCAGTCTATGCTACATGCTAGAACTGTCAAGTCCTATATGGGAGTGGCAGTCTATGCTACATGCCAGAACTGTCAAGTCCTATATGGGAGTGGCAGTCTATGCTACATGCCAGAACTGTCAAGTCCTAAATGGGAGTGGCAGTCTCTGCTACATGCTAGAACTGTCAAGTCCTATGTGGGAGTGGCAGTCTCTGCTACATGCTAGAACTGTCAAGTCCTATATGGGAGTGGCAGTCTATGCTACATGCTAGAACTGTCAAGTCCTATATGGGAGTGGCAGTCTATGCTACATGCTAGAACTGTCAAGTCCTATATGGGAGTGGCAGTCTATGCTACATGCTAGAACTGTCAAGTCCTATATGGGAGTGGCAGTCTCTGCTACATGCTAGAACTGTCAAGTCCTAAATGGGAGTGGCAGTCTCTGCTACATGCCAGAACTGTCAAGTCCTATATGGGAGTGGCAGTCTATGCTACATGCTAGAACTGTCAAGTCCTATATGGGAGTGGCAGTCTATGCTACATGCTAGAACTGTCAAGTCCTATATGGGAGTGGCAGTCTATGCTACATGCTAGAACTGTCAAGTCCTATATGGGAGTGGCAGTCTATGCTACATGCTAGAACTGTCAAGTCCTATATGGGAGTGGCAGTCTATGCTACATGCCAGAACTGTCAAGTCCTATACGGGAGTGGCAGTCTATGCTACATGCCAGAACTGTCAAGTCCTAAATGGGAGTGGCAGTCTCTGCTACATGCTAGAACTGTCAAGTCCTATATGGGAGTGGCAGTCTCTGCTACATGCTAGAACTGTCAAGTCCTATATGGGAGTGGCAGTCTATGCTACATGCTAGAACTGTCAAGTCCTATATGGGAGTGGCAGTCTATGCTACATGCTAGAACTGTCAAGTCCTATATGGGAGTGGCAGTCTATGCTACATGCTAGAACTGTCAAGTCCTATATGGGAGTGGCAGTCTATGCTACATGCTAGAACTGTCAAGTCCTATATGGGAGTGGCAGTCTATGCTACATGCCAGAACGGCAAGTCCTATGTGGGAGTGGCAGTCTCTGCTACATGCTAGAACTGTCAAGTCATATATGGGAGTGGTAGTCTATGCTACATGCTTGAACTGTCAAGTCCTATATGGGAGTGGCAGTCTATGCTACATGCTAGAACTGTCAAGTCCTTTATGGGAGTGGCAGTCTCTGCTACATGCTAGAACTGTCAAGTAATATATGGGAGTGGCAGTCTATGCTACATGCTAGAACTGTCAAGTCATATATGGGAGTGGCAGTCTATGCTACATGCTAGAACTGTCAAGTCATATATGGGAGTGGCAGTCTCTGCTACATTATTATAATTACGTGCCATGCCGGTAAGCATAGGCTGTCATGCTTCACCACGATCATCAGAATCCCAGGTCAGGTCAATGTTTTTGATTCGCCCCCATCCATCCGCAAGGTCAATCAGATATTTATCTCTTTGTCTTTCTCTTGCCCTTTCCATCAATCTTGCCAGTTATTAACAAGTTCTCAAGACTTTTTCTTCTTAAAAAAAAACATTTAAAAAAAAAGACTGTCTACATCTAATTGTTCTGATACATTTAGGACTTTCATCTGTTTCGATGAAGACTGCTTCATTTGTATTTCTATCTTTCAATGATATTCTTTGCATTCTTCAATACCACATCTCTGCCATGAGTAAATGTTTTTCAGCTTGTCTGCTCACTGTCCATGTTTCACACACATATAACATCAGAGGTTCAACATAGCACTTTTACATTCTTTTTCTCACTGCAGCTGACATCTTACAGGTAAGAATCTTTTGCATGTTGCTAACAGCCACTTTTAGGCGATTCTGCTCTAATTTCTGCAAGGCATCTTGCATTAGATGAGAGGCTAGTTGCTCGCCTGGATCGGAAGGCTGTGGGTTCGCTCCCTGGCGGAGCCGGACTTTTTTCAAAAAGGACCTTGGCTCCCAGGTCTACCCAGCCTTGAGTGGGTACCGGGTGCAGTCCCGGGAAGTAGAGGCGGCCGGCGTGATGCTGACCATATCACCCATCTTGTGCCGATTGGTCTATAAAATATTGGTCTAGCCCTATATGCCAAAAGGCGTGGAAAGCAGTCCTTTTTAATTTCTTGCATTAGATGATACACACTGTCTATATAAATATGTTGATACTCAATTATACTGAGGTCGGTGTTCTCACAGAAGTCTCCTCCAATTAAGTACATAAGCTTCCACTTAGCTGTTCCTGCTCACTGGGTATTCCAATGCATGCTCATTCTACTGATGCAGCAGCCCGACGTACCCCCCTCCACCAACTGTTTCCAAAATCTTAGAGCAAACATTATCACTTTGACAAGATTCGTAAAGATGGGGACTGTTCCTCTCCTTCTGCATTCACCTTCAAAAACAGCACTGTTTTGTGGTTTACACTTCAATTTATGTCCCTTTGAGCCCAACACATCTAATTTCAACAAATCCTTAGTCGCTTTCATGGCATACTTTTCAAGGGTCTGGGGGGTCTATTCCCCCATCCATAATGGAGTAATGGAACTCCCATGGGTTGGATTGTTTAACTCTTAAAGGCTGGGAGGCTCATACTGCAAAACATTCCTGTAGGGTTAATATCTACAGAAACTTTTGTTTTCATTCTATTCTGGTTGCAAATTTCAGTATCCCATATATTACAACTTCTAATGTCCATATGTAGTTCAGATAACCAAGAAATTATTCACCACTGTTCTATAACAGTCAACTAAATTTTTAGAGAACTGCAACATTAAATCTTTAGGAGTTTCAAAGACTACAGAAAAATATTTTTTAAATACAAGAAGAAAAAAAAATGGCCCTTACCAGAGTGGATATACAACTAATCTGGATACGATCCAAGTGAATATTAAAATGCCAAAGAATATTTCACAGAGCATTTGATACTTTGCATACTTTAACATTTTTGCAATCTACAAGTGTGAAGGAAAGAACATAATTATTACAATATAAAAACAGTTATTACAAAGCAATATAAACAACTACACATTTATAATAGAATCGGTTTTCAAATGAATACACAATAACTAAAATAAATCATCAAGTACTGTTTCTCTTCACCAATTATCACACTAATATGTGTTTAACGAGAAGTGAACAAATCAAACTCTGTGACAAATAGTATGATTATCAGCACCAGCAAGCAAGTTAAAGTAAAAATATTGAGAACATGCACCTTTCCCATGACAACATAAGAATCTGACACAAGGACTCTTACTCAGTCATTAAACAAAAAATCCAATGTTTTGAACTGAAATGCCGCAGAAAAATTCTTCACTTACAATGGGCCAATAAATTAAAAAACCGACACCCTTTATGATCTAAACATCAAAGAGAACTGGCTCATTAGCAGCATCTACACTTCTTCTTCTTCTTCGTTCACCGACTGTGAATTCCGGCGGAAGGTCCCGGTTAATCATCTGCTTGGACTTTTGGCTTTTATCTGGACCTGAGTTTTTCATGTACAAACGTTTTACCAACTTTTGCCGTTCCCTGCCTCCCGCTTCGATGAAAGACGTCAGGCCTATTTCTAGGATGACTGTGGCCATTGTTTTGTGTGGGTCGAGATGTTGCCTGATTTGTGTGGTGTCCTTTTTGTCCCTTTTTCTACAGGTGTTGCCCCCGGAGTACCCCCTTTGGGGCAGCCCTGTGTGGAACGGTCAGCCCTCAAGGGAAGGCAGGGGCAGATCATGGGCATTCCCCGCCATCCAAGGAGGCTTCCATAAATGCAGAGCCGACACATGGCGCTCTGGTTCTGGGCTCACCCAAGGAATCGTCAAGTCCTGCTCATGACTGCTTAACCTCACAACCGTATTATACTTCCCGCTCGACATGGGCTGTGCCCTCCGGAGATCAGCATACGGGTTCTGGACTTTTGTGACCACATGAATAGGTACATTCTTTTTCGTCGCACGTTTGACATCTTTAGCGAGCTGTTAGCATGACAGAATGGAGAATCCTGTGTCAGGCATATGTTTATCTGTTTGGTCCCAACACTCAGGCGAGTGGGGTGTCGGGATATGGACATTTGGACTTTTTCCCAATCAATACGATTTATGATGGTCGGATTTTAAGCTTGCTCGTGTGCTGTAGAATCTATTTTTGTCGGACATTTGGGCTTAGCCAGCTGATGGACTGTTGCTGTCTTGGTGTACCTCAGCGCGGTGATGATGAAACTGAGGGTTGACAGAGGATGTGCATGGGTAGAATCTTGCTGTGAGAAGCCCTCCACAGGAGATGTTACTCGTCTGAGCTGCGGGTAAATCTCTTGGTCAAGGGTTGAGTCTCAGCAGCACAATATTCTCTTCCCTCCACAAACTTTTAACAGAGGGTTGTCATTTTAGTTGAACATTTGGCAAGCAGACTTTACTCATGTTCCTAATGAGTTTTTATAAACTTTTTCACCCATGCGTTTGGGGGCGGGCTGATGAGAGCCACAAGGACACTACACCTCTGGGAGCTGCCAACTCCGAGATCCCCTGACAGCTCTGTTAATGCTCATTAGGGACATTATCCATGGCGCACTGCGAGGACTTGCTGCAGGAGTTTTGCATGAGGTTCCGTACAACCAGAACAGTGAGGGACTGGCGCCCGAGTGACGTACTGAGTATCATCTTATACATATCACGCTGGACTTTACCTCACGCCTGTGACAGAAATCACCGCGCCACATCCTATACTGAAAGCTGAGCCATGTTAAACATCATGGTGGCCTGGAGAGGGCAGTGACAGAGGGTACAGTTTCCAGAAAACGAAGTCGAGGCAGATCTCCACAAAGGTGGATATAGGGCAGTAAAGATGTACTGGTTATGAAAGAATCCAGTGAACTGTGACTAACAAGCTTAACCAAATGGGGAAGCAGAAAAACATGCACAAAACAACACAAATTGATGTTTCATCAAGAATTTCAATCCAGCTTTCAAATTCACCTCACGTCAGCATCAATTTCCCAAGTTTGAAGACCACAGCCTACAAAGAAACCTATGGATTCTCACAGCTATATCCTTTATGCATCATCTTGTGTGTGTGTGGTGCGCGCACATGTGTGTGTATGTGGAAATGATGATAATAGTCTGATAAATTATACAAAAATCATAAAATAAATAAAGAACTTAAAACTGGTCTCATGTTTTTCTCCACATCATAATGAAGTTGCCAGTCCTACCAGGCCTGCAGAAAGACACTCAGATCCTTGTCAATTCCCCTGCCTCATTATGTTCCTCCACACGATATTTCTAACCTCTTGTAAGTGCACATCTACCCCTGCCTCTTCTTCCAGGTACTACACCTTCAATGTCAGTGTTCCGAATCCACTGCTGTGTTTAATATGGTTGAAGTTTTTCATCTTCAAGACAAGGTGGTGTTTACAGTTCATTTTCCCTGCTATGTTCAAATCTTGTACACTGTCCCCAGTAAGTTATTTATGGGTTGAGCAAAATGAGACATATTGTCAGTTTATTACTGTAAGCCGATGAAGACTTTCTAGCCATAAAGTTCATTTTGTCACTTGCAATTGTGTTCTTAGGAAGTTGATTGGTTCTTTCCATTAAGGTTGCTTTTTCATTATTGAATGTCAGTATGTTTATCCTTTTTAATCAACATCTGCACATGCAATATATAATTATATAAAGAATCTATTATTAAATGACAGAAAATGAAGAGAACTACAGAACAAAGTAAAAAAATGCCAGCTAACAACAAATCAAAAAAATAATTGAAGACTTACATTGAGCCACGGATCTGCTACATCATGAACCACTAAAACAAGACTTCCTACTCGCACAAAGTTGCAAGCCCATGAAAAATAGATAAGCAGGATGGTCACCAAATGATGCATGATCATTTCATTCTTATCCTTTGAATAAAAGGAAAATGTGGATACAAACAATTTAAATGTGTGCACATGCATAAATCGTGTTTTAAATAAGAAAATATGTGGAAACACTGCACTATGTTTGGGTCTAGTAAGGTTGCAGGTTTGTCAGTCACTGTATGAAATGTCCTCTGTTCTATAAGTGATTAGGAAGTTCATGCCAGGCGTCTCTGGTAATCACATTTGTATACAGCCAGCCATCTCCAGTATTGCCAATTATTTGTTATATAACTGTTCTTCCAGGCCACAATGTCAAACTGTCCACCCTCTTACCTCTGTCTTTCCTTCCCTCCAACAGCCCCACTATCAATCCAGTTTTCCACTTCTCACAATGTGAGGGCAAGTAGCTTCAGGGAACCTTGTGCCAAGTTTTAATACATGGATACAATAGGGGATTTTTGTTGCTATTTTAATTTTCATTGTGCTTGATTAAAGTTTTTTTTAAATCTTTAAAATTGTCTAAATGAATGCCAGAGGTTTTCTAGACACTACATCTCTGAAGGCCACCAGCTCTGTGATCCTCTGCCAGCTCAGTTAGGTGAATACAGACACTTATTCATGGTGCACGGCGTGGCAGGAGTCTTACATGAAGTTAGTTGTGTATCCTTTACAGGATGTTGGAAAACCAACCTCAGCATTGTACTACTGACTGTTGCAGGTTTTCTAGGCAAATTTGCGCTCATTTGCCTCTGCTTTCTGGATGGTCGGCTCTTCGATACCACTGTCAAAACCAATGCAAGATGGTCTGCTGCAAAATGGCCTCCAACTGGAATCAAACCCGGTACCACAACATTATTAAGTGCACTTGCAATGCCTAAGCCACATTCTCCTACATAAGCTTCCAAAAAAACGAGCACAGAGCCTACTGGTATCCAAGGTAATGGACAGGGTATTACTCTTATACACAGCACAAGGGCTTTAACTCTCCCTCATGTCTGTGACTAAAGTCACTTCATTATCTATTATAGCATTTGACTTTGTTATGCGGTAACAAGTGTGATTCCAAATGATTATAACTAAAGAGTATTCTATGCTGTAGTTACTGCAGCAGATACATTTCCCACCTTGTAGCCAGTTTGATATTAACAGAGTGCAGTAGACCCGTAAGATTTTTACCTTAAATAAGCAGTGTGATAAAATGATTGTTAAACTGATCTGTAATTAGCATTGAGTGTGAAGGATGGTGTCGTAATAAGAAGATCTAACAAGAAGACAAAAACTACACTCCAACAACATGAAGTACAGATGTCACAATTCACTGACAAGTCAACAAAACAGAAAATTTGAGAGTGAGGATGGGAAATACATCATGGTGTGGCAAATGCCACTATGGAAACCAATAATCCACGTGGACAACTTTGCGATACCCTTCACTTAGAGACAGAACACCATAAGGTATGGTACTCAAACTAGAAACTTGAAAGATTTTTAAAAGGCTAAGGTCATAGTCCAAAGCCATGTGCATGTGGAAGGCAAGAGGAAACTACCAAATTATTCATTCTAAGAAAACTGTCATTACAGCTGCAAATGAATCCTGAGCATTGAAAAGAGGTAGTAATCTTTTCAACAGGTTGAAATGAGAGAGCTTTCTGCCAAGGACTTTCTACCTGATGATGAAGAAGATGCAGTGTCTGTCTTGTTTGGTTATGTACAGAAATATAGGAAACTTACTCTAATGAAAAGTACAATGTGAAATGCCTACACACAAAATATTTTTTTAAATACATTTTGTGTAAATACTTCAGGAAGAATTCAGCTTTAAATCTCACAGGAAGTATTTTCAATAAATGTTATGTATGTACATGTTATTGTATAAGCAGCTAAGTTACTACTGTCACCAACACTGATAAAATACCATCTACTGCAAAAAAAAAATTTCATGATTTCATTCCTATTAAAGAAAGACTGTTAGGAAAAAGCGTACAAAGTGAAAATTGTAAATGAAAGATACTTTGTAATTAGTGAAAGATTATTATGAGAACATAATTCAATAATACAGTTTAAATAGCTTGCTGAGATGCACAATATATCCTCATTTAGTAATTTTTCTAGTACAGAACATTGCCCACATATCATTCTTTAAAAAATGTGCTTCCAGTAAATAGTCCAGCGATTTGAAACTAACAGAGAAGCGACTATAGCAGTTGGGCACTTGTCTGCAAAAGCCAGCCTCGCAACATAGACACCATTAAAGAGACAGCTGGAGTTTACTGGTGGGTTATGCAGTACACTGCAGTTGTCTACAAAATTTCCTCATATCAGAAATATTCTATCTATTTTCATGGAACTTTGTGGTCAAAATCAAGTCTTCCATGAGGAGAGCCATTGCCCAGTTTCAGTCAGGCAACTTGCAACATAGAAAATTGAAACCAGTGCTTAAATAGATCTTTAAATAGCTAGACCAGCCTGTGATGTTAAGCTAAGCCAGTGTATGAATCCAGATACTGGTAAGTCCAGTCTACCGCCAGAAGAGAAGTCTCAGACTACACGCAAATGAAGGAAAGCAGTGAGATAAAGTATTTGTCGTCATCTGATATCTAGAATAATACCAACAGTGATATCATTTTCTAAATGTGTTACCCAAACCCAACAAACTAAATTAACTGTGCCAAAAAAAAACCTTATAACAAAAGTAATGAAGGTAATATGCTACAGCATTTGTGACTGACTATCTGTAGATATAACAATTATTTGAATTTACATTGGAAAAAAAAAAACTGATTAAACTTGATCTGAACCTAGGGATGTGAAATTAAACATTAGACAAAAGTGATCAGGAAGACTTTCCTAGTAAGAACAGTGGTGACATAATAATTATTGGTGTCATAAATAAGGAACAATTTAAAAACACTATTTCAATTACTTGCAAAATTAACTTACAATTTTACTAGATTATTTGTTTAGACACAAGCTGCAACCACGGCGGTTCAACAGCACATACAGAGTGATCAACCAAGGTAGACAAGCAAAACAACTTCCAGGATACTTCAAGATTATTGACTTAATTTACGACAGAATAGGGAATCAGTTTGATAATATAATTGAACAGCAAACATAATAATTTCCTGCTGCTATGCAATTGTAAAATATAATTTTTTTGGAAAAAGTATTCATTAGAATAGGAAATCGTCATGTATTATTTTCTTTGGATTATATTATACTAAATGATATCTTTTTATTTATAAATTATATCATAGACAGGATTTCAAACTTTCTACAAACTATATCATTTGCTGACATTATTATATTATTACTGATACTTTTTTATTTCAAATTCAAAAATTGATCTGAAGCTTTCATTTAATAATTATCTGGACTTAATACTGATTTTAGTTTAGATCAAAATTGAATTTAAAATAAAAATTTTCAACCTAATTTATCCAGATATAGGGACTGATTCAATTTAACTCACTCATTTCTAAGGAATTTTTCTTTATAACAGACTACTGTATTTCTTTTCAGGAATTAAATTTAAACATGACTTTTTCTTTCTGTTACCAGGCATATGGTTTGAGAGCCATACATGCTGAACACAATCAAGAGTAATATTTATTAACTTATTACTTACTACTTCACTTTTGAGCCATTTAATTATTTTCACACTAATTATAAATTGATTATTTGAACAGGTTTCCCAGAAATAATTTTATGTTTTCTTTTTTTAAACTGTCAATAATTTGTTGAAAAAGTCAGAAAGATAGTCAATCAGTGGGATTCCTTCTTCTGAAAAGATATTTATTAATAAGAGATTTATTAATTTAATTTATAATCATTTATTATTTTCTGAAAAATGCATTTTTCCTATAACTTTTTTGTAGCATTCGATCAAATTTTTACTGGTATGTTAGTTAGCCAATAATTCTTCAAGTAAATTAGGATTTTCAGTTATTATTCAAATAATCAGCAGGGATTATTTAAAAAAAAATACTTTTTTTTTTTAAATCAGTAAGTAGACTGTATTGTTTTAGGTGTATGTTATCTTTCACGTTGGTTGTAAACAGCTTGGTGCAATTCATTGTTGACCAAATTTGTTCAACACCATGTGTTAACTGTTGAACTTCTACAATACTTTTTCTATTATTAATTGTTACAAATAAAGTGTATGACCGCAGGTTTGCAGAAATCTGCAATGGTGCTTAGAGATATGGGTGCCACCATTTCAAGCATTCATAAGAACCTAGTTAAACCTGAAGAAGTTACAAATAAGTATGTAAAGTGTAGAACTTTGGGGGGAGGGGCACTAAGCGTTGCAAAATTGCAAAAATGTGGTTTAAAAACACTCAATTTCTGGTAAAGTTTATTGACATAGCCATTTTACCATATCCTGCCTGGGATTTAATTACAGGAAACAAACAGGTTTTAAATTAAATGTCTTTCCTTTGAAGTCGGAGCACATCCGCCTGAGAGGCAAGGAACCAATAGTCTGCATGCAAATGAGTCAGAGCTGCGAATCGAGTGTGCATGCAACACTCAGTTTCTGAAATGTGACAAGAGACCAGAAGAGAACTAACAACCATAACTTTCTGTCAGAGTTTAAAGTCAGTGAACACGAAGAAGAAAAAGAATGAAATGTCTGATGAATAGACTGCTCACTAGGAGAAAAAAAATATTTGGTTGTGCGACAAGAGTGAAGGTATAAATGTAAAATTTAAAAACCCGAGTGCAAGTGTAAATGCTACAATAGAAGTGCAGAGTGTGCAAGAGATGAAGATGAATAATAAGATGACAGGATGAAAAAATGTGCTAAAGGAGAGGACGAATGATAGAATGACATAAATTCAAAGTGTACAAGACAGGAGTGTGAAAGAGAAGACGGTGAATAATCAATACAAAAGAAAAGAAGTAAGGGGGTTGAGAGACAGTGCTATGTCAATTTGTAAACAAATTACAACAGATGAAAGAAAAGTCATGGATAATAATATGTTATGAAGTAATTATGTCACAACAAAGGCAAGGAAGTTGAGAGAGAATTTATCAGTTTATAATTGATGTACAACTACAGCAGGAACCAGAATTACAATCAGTACCTGTCAGAACAATTTAAATGCTGAAAATCTAAAAGAAAAGTTAGTACTAATTCTTTCAAACAAAACTGGAATTCATAAAAGATCTCGAGAGGCTTGAAATGGTAAATGGTTGAAATTACACTAAGTGGAGCCCAGAACTAAGTCAATAAAATAGAGACGGCAGCGTGACTACACAATTTTAACCAAGATAAATCATAAAAATCCAAGAGTGTGCATGCATACAGGAGCACTAGATAAATGAAGTCAGAAAAAAGCTACTCCCACATATGAATTCATGTTTTTCTTACCACAGTGGTGTAAAATAAATGATACCTTGGTTGAGTTTAATTTTTTTTTTAAATAGTCACAAATGTACTACACTAAAACTGACTGCAACAATAATCTGGAACTGTGAAATAATAAACTGAAAATGCTTATAAATCTTTACCAAAATAATAAACAAACTGTTACTTGCAAAAGACAATGTTACCACTTACATGGATGGCATTTGCATTCATATACAATTTTTGCCAGAAGATTTGGATACATTAGATAAAGCAATTGCTAGAATTTGAGACACAAATTTGACTGTTAAAACATTGAAATCTGGAATTGGTATTAAACATATTCATTTTCTAGGTCATGTAATTTTTGAAGAAAATACCTACTGGTCAATATACTGTATCCAAAATTTTGATAGCTGAAAAGCCTAAAACTAAGAAGCAATTACAATTATTGCTTGGTTAGTAAATTACTATGGTAAGTTCACATCTAATCTCACCTCTTTCAGATTTGCTGAAAAAAGAACAGCCAAGAAAATCAGACTGATAAGAAACATACCATCAGATTCTACAAAAGATCGAATCCCTATTTGCAACACATTCAAGTATAAAGCAGCCTGATTTATCTAGGAATTTTTATTTACAATCTGATGTTGGCATACATACTACAGCAGCCATTTTAGTGCAAAATACTGGTATTCTTTCACACATATTTTATTTGTCACAGAAGCTTACACCAACTCAAGAGAAGTATAACACATTTAAGAGAGAAGCTCTAGCTTTGGTAATCACCTTTAACAAGTATCAAAAATACTTGCTGGGAAAAGAATTTGTAATACTCAGACAATTTTGGTAACAAAACTACTGACAACTGATTCTACAAGCTATGCAAAAGTACAGATGTATAGGTATCACAATTTCAATTTAAGATGCAACACATTAAAGGCATAGAAAATGATTTACCAGAAGTTATGTCCAGATTTTAATGACACAAATAAATAAATAAAACCAATAAAATAATTTAAATTGTTTATTCACCATTACCCACATCAGTCAAATAACAAAAATTGTTATACAAAATATTTAAAACACTGAGATTATAGTGACAGATTTACACTGCATAAAAGTACAATGAATGTTTTATATTTTATGAAATAATAAACAGATGAGGTGAATAGGTAACAAAGACAATTAAGACACTAACAAAGACTAAAGATTAATTAGAATTAATACATAACACATGGAAAGACAAAAATTAGTCAATCATGTAATATACAATTTTCTGAGAATCTTAATCAGTTAAATACAAGTGTGAAGACTAATATTGGTATATGAGAAATACTTGGAAATCCATGATGTACAGTAAATAACATAAAATTAATCCTGGCTGAAGCTACAAACTTGGAACACAGTGATTTCAATTAGGACAGTCATCAGCATGCATTTCAAGAGAGCATATATAGTGAAAATGGGACTTTGTAGAGTCACATTACGGTCATATAGCCAATATATGGACTTCCGCACCAAATTAAGGGTGTACTGAGGTGTTGTTCTGTTGACAAGCAGACTGTGGGACTTGATGAGGATAACTGTAGCTATGATCTTCCACAAAATTATTAGCGTTTTGGGATGCTGATTCCAATAATATATGATGCAGTAACTGAAAATGACTGGTGATGATGTACAATTTTTATCATGAATGAATTTAAATAATGGTAAGCGAAAGCCATCAGCTAGAAGTACACACAGGAAGACATTTATATCATCGGTCTGAAGTAATCCACAGAAGTAATCATGGCTGGTGTTACAAGTGAACAATTTCATAGGTCTTTACAACAAGAACAAGGAAACTGAACTATTTCATTGTTTAATATTCCAGCAAACAGTAAACTAAACAAACAACTTGAACACTAACTGAAGTAGTCAGTCCACCTGATGAGTCAATATGCTAAACAGATAAAAATAAAAACAAGGTAAGAACATATGCTAACAGAAGAAAAGACAATAACAATGACAGCAAATACTAACCTTTTTTTGGTAGTCTCTTTTAAAGAAAATGGCAAATAATAAGCTCCAGTAAAAGCTCAGTTCCAACAAGTACAGAATAAAAATATCATTATCAATGTGCTGAGAAGAGAAAAAAATCATCATTACATTATATATCATATTTTACATCAAAGTCATGATAAATGAGCAAAATAAAATGGCTAAAACATCATTATTTTCAAAGAAGTTACTGTTACTATTAGGTTAGTTATAAAAGATTACCGGTAAGGCTAATAAGGTCAAAAATTTCTGAAGTTGCATGTGTTGATAACTGTGACACATTATGTGACGAAACTGATAAACAACTAAGGATGAATAGGCACACTTCCAACTAAACAGATACTGCACTGACAGGACACTACACAAATTAATGCAGAAAGCACTCTACTGATCTCACCTCTGAATGTTTGAGGACTATGAAACAGATCTTTGATAATACTAATGACAAATATCTATGGGAATAAACTGGTGAACGAACGAACTTTATTTTCAAAGGGTCACAAATTGGGCACGCAGGCCCGTCTTACATTCGGCCCTTCCAGTCAACCATCTTTCGCACAGCAGTTGTATTTTTACTAATAAAGCATGTTATGATCATATGATAATATGCATATTATGAATATTATAAAAGAACACAAAAGCATGAGTTGTAAAGTGCATGCAAAAAACCTGCGCGTGCATACATACACCCACATACACACAATCACCCACTCACACACACATACATGCATGCAAACATTACATACATACATATATACGTACATACATACAAACAAACATACAAACAAACATGCAAACAGGCATTCACACAGGCATACATACATACAAACAAACATACATAGATACAGGCATACATTCGTAATACAGGCATACACACATACAAACATACAGTCATAAATACAGTCATGCATGGAGACACTCCCACAAAGACACACACGCTCACTTAGACAAAAATACAGACACACACACAGACTCTTACATATAAACACACACAGGAAAACACACAGCACACATTTTTACATTCGTGCTCACACACTTACACAAACACCACACACACACACACGCAGACAAACATGCAGACACATACATACAGCCACATAGACACACACGCAGTCAAACACACACACACACACACACACACACACAAACAGGCAGACAAACACAATCTGACACCCACACATACAAACACGCAGAAATGCATACACATACAAACACATAGAAATACACACACAGACACATATATTCAGCACGCACAGACATATACTCTGACATGCAGACACATACAGACAACAAAGGGGCACACACAATACACACAGAGAAACACACATAGACATACACAGACAGACACATGCTGACACATACACTCATGCAGACAGACATACAGACACCCACACACAAAGATACATACATACAGCCTCATAGACACACCCGCAGACAAAACACATAAACATACACAGGCAAACATGCAGACGAACACATACGAGGACACACACAGACACAAACGAAGATATACACAGTTACATGAAATATGCAGAAAAACACCGAGACACACACACATGCAGACAAAGACAGAGACACACACACAGACACATATACATAGCTACATGGATCCAATCGCACACACACACACGCAGACACACATACACAGCAAAGAGGCACACTTAAACACACAGAAACACACACAGACCAATTCATACTGAAACATACATGTGGACATACGCGCGAACACACACACAAGGACGCAGACGCAGACATTCGCAGACACACACGCAGATACACAAGCAGACAAACAACATACTCAGAATCATATGTATATAAACACGCCTACACATACATACATATCACACACGCGCGCGCGCAAACATACATATCATACACACTTTGTTTAATAATAAATTGATAATGCAATATGGGTTACATTACATTCAAGGTGGCATATAATCGCTTGTAAGTATAAATTGAAAAAGTTTACGGTTAAATGAATAGGGACTTTTAGAATTTTTCAGGTCTAGTGGAAGTTGGTTCCACAAATGAGCAGCGGAGTACGCTAAACTTGTTTTATATAAAACCTGGGGTGAGTATTGCCACTGACAACCATTAGCTTGCCTATACTGACATGAAATGTTGAGTTCTTCCTCAGGAAAAATTAACATACATTTGAAATCAGAATAAATGTGTGACATGGATGGGTATCTTGCGTCATAAAGAAAAGAATATGAAAACAACAACAACAAAATATGAGGAAAAGAATATGTAAATATGTGCATAAAATTGTGGTTGTGATCATTATGACAGAAGGAAAAATAATAATAACTAGACTGAAAATTAAATACTAACGTTTCAAATACTTAGGAAGCATAACATATTCTTTCTTACAATTTCTTCTTCTCCTTCTCTTCTTTCAGTCAGCCCAGTGAAGTATGGGGAAGACTTGTCTGTTCTTTCTAATGCAAGATGTGAGCTAGTCTTTGGTCCTCTAAGGTTATTTTTTTGTCATACCATCCTTCCATATCTTGTATGGTATTTTCCTGGCTATGTGTTGTTTATATTTTCTCACAGCAGTTCGCTGAGGCAGTTGACCATTCTCGTCAACTGACTAAACCATTAAATCTCTTGTATGGTATTTTCCTGGCTCTGTGTTGTTTATATTTTCTCACTGCAGCACGCGGAGGCAGTTGACCATTCTCGTCAACTGACAAAACCATTAAATCTCTTGTATGGTATTTTCCTGGCTCTGTGTTGTTTATATTTTCTCACTGCAGCACACGGAGGCAGTTGACCATTCTCGTCAACTGACTAAACCATTAAATCTCTTGTATGGTATTTTCCTGGCTATGTGTTGTTTATATTTCCTCACTGCAGCACACGGAGGCAGTTGACCATTCTCGTCAACTGACTAAACCATTAAATCTGCATCTCTTTAATGAACTGTATAACTGGTATCAATCCTAGTTTTCTGTTGATTTAATCATTTTTAATGTCCTCTCTTCTTGTTACTTCAGCAGATCTTGTAAGATTGCAAATCCATGGTAAGATGATAAATATTTTTTTTCTTTGGCAACAACAAAATAATCATAACCTTTACAGTTCATGGTGAGTGGGTTAGCGTAGCGGTCCAAGTCCTGATACTCAATAGCCTCCATTACCCAATATCACATCTCTCCCACCCCTAGTAAAGACAGAAAGTAAATAAAAAATTTTTTATTTAACCGTTAATTATCTGAAATAATTTTTGAAGAAATCAAAGAAACTCACCTGCTTTGGCCAACCAATCCAACAATTGACTGTAACCCACAACCATGGTTTCTGCAATTATAAAACAGTAAATAAAAAAACCTATAAAAAACATTTAAAAAAATATAAAACCTATTTTAGACATTTTTGTCTGCTTATACTTTACACACTCCTTTCAAAGTTTTTTTAAGGTTCCAAAATATTACATAATATTATTTTTATTACCAACACATTTTGACTACACATAAGAAACAGTAGACAATTTTTGCAAGACTTACTTAAGATAAAATTCCACAACAAAAATGTATGCACTTATGTTTGGAAAAAAAAAAACACCGTGTAAGTGATGTATAGTAAACTTACATTAATACAATTATAGTTTAAGGGGTGTTTAAAGGTTAGAAGATCAACTTCTTTGAATTGGATTTTATCCCTGCTGCTCTATCCCTCCACAGAGAGGATATTTACCTACTGAGAGCGCCACAAGAAGCTTTAAACGCCACTGCTCTGACAACAATACCCCTGGGATCTCTGAAACATCTAGATGGAAGGGCAGCCTGAAAATGCACCCACAAACTTCACAGAACGAGACAAACCAGCTGAACTACGTTGCCATGGAGATTGTTCACAACATATGAAGGTGGTGCTACTGAGTTTAAATCACCACTAACTATGACATCATGAAGACCAATAGACTACAATGGTTGGGGCATACAGAGAGAATGGCAGACAACAGAGAGACAAAAACTGTGTACACAAAAGACCTGAATGAAAGTAGACCAATAAGATGGTGGAGATAATATACGGAAGACCTACAAAAACCTGAAGTCACCTACTGGAAGAAGAAAAAAGTTAATCAGGCAGATGAATGGAGGTGGGTTGTATCTGTAGCAATGAACCTCAAGGGCTCAAAATGCTGAAGAAGAATATAAATAAAATACAATTGTGCCTTAAATTTTAAAGGATGTGAATATTTGACTCATTAATACTCTCTGCCCCAACAAAGTTTTCACAATAGATGCCCCAGGGTGGAACTTAAACTCCATGAGAAAATTTGAAGGTATGGCTTTAAAGAAGGCTAAACATACATCAAAAGTGGCCAGCGGGGAAGCCAGCTTTCTTTATTAGTATGCTATAGCAAAATGTAAAATTTGAACTGGTTACATTGTTGCTCGAAATCAATGGGGACAGCCAATCACATGTCATAATAAAGGGTTTTAAAATGCAGTTCTGCCAATAAAATATCAGATATTATTTGCGAATGAAAGGATATCATTTTAACTGCCATGTTAGTCAGTGTTTTATTCAAGTGGGAACAAAACTTTTCACTAAAGGCCTATTTCACATCAAAAAGTTGCTGCTCAATACAATGTATATATTAGATAATGTTCTTATGTTTTGAAGCATCAGTGTTTCCAACAGCTGTGTCCCTACTAGCTGTTTATTCTTGCACAATAACATTATGAGAAATAGACTTACTCTAATGGAATTACTATATGGGATGGATACAATAAAAAAAAAAATGTAATGAAACTAAAAGCTAAACACTGAAATTATTGATTTTTGTGGGCATGAAAACAAGCCACTGACACAGGCCATTTTCGTCACTTAGCTCATTGCTCAGATAACATGCAAAATAAAACATCATTTAGGTAACGCTTATTTAAAATTCAACGGTACGATTCATGTAATGACAAATCTATCATCTAACTGTAGGGTTTTCTCAGTATTCAAGTGAAGACCCTATTTTATTCCAAGCAACATTAGGTCTTTTATGCTAAGCCAACATTTGAAACTAACTAACACACCCTAGGTCATGTTGTCAGCCATCTTTAATTTCCCATAAATATTTTCTTTCTTGAAACTGGGTCAATGCAGAGCTTGTGGTATATTCAGAAATCCCAATATCACGGAAGATTTGAACTTGCTCCCTAAATATTTACTGAGAACATTTTGGCTGCTAAAAAACACACCACACAGACCACTAACCAAAATGATTATGACTATTTATGTAACATTTTATTTATTTTACAGAAAAGATCTGAATAAATTAACATTGAAATCCAAGGAAAGTTTCACAGTTGTAAAGAACAAACTGAAAAGGAAGAAACTAACAAACAAAGCTTTTAACACAGAATACTTACGCTAGTTAGAAAATGTGTTTATCTTACCGGGAGCCATACTAGAAGCAAAGAGTAATACTGTAACCTATCATGCATGTTCTAAGGGAGGATTAAGGAAGGTTAGTTTAATACTGGCTACCTCTCTTCTCTCTTCTGCCCATTTTCTCCCAGTGGAGCATAGACCCTCAACCCACTCAGGCTAAGTCATCTTATTTGTTATCACTTGCAGCTCACCCCATGTCCTCCCTATCAATCTGACTTCCCTCTCTAGCTTCCTTCTTCATGTGTTTCCCTTTTCTTTCTATGCCCCTGTGGGCTCTAGTGTATAGACATTCTAGTTATAATGTCCTCAGATTTTCTCAACGTGCATTACATCCAATGTTACCCGTGTGGGATCCGGGGCCCCATTGTGGGGGGAAACAAGAATAGACCCACTGCCTACCAGAAAGCATGTCATAAGAGTCGACTAAGTGTAGTAGCTTCCTTTGAAGTCGGAGTGCATCTGCCTGAGAGGCAAGGAACCAACAGTCTGCATTCAAGTGAACCAGATCTGTAAAACTGATGCACACACAACACTCAGGTTCTGGAGCAGGACTGCAGTCCAGGTGTGGACGAACAACCAGAACTTTCCGCCAGAGTGTACCGCTGGTGAATGCGAAGAATAAGAAGACATCCAATGTCAGCATCTTGTCCTTACCCCTGAAATCACCCAAATTTGTTCAGTTCACTCCCAAACTTATACTTTAGCAATTCTATCATAAGATTTAATTCCTTATATCTGTGCAGGCATCAGTTAATGAATATTTGTAGTTTATTAGTCGTTGTTTTAACTGGTCTCCATACTTCAGCTCCATACAAAAGTACTGATTTGACATTAGAGTTAAATATTTTACTAGTTTTAATTTCCGCCGACTTCCATAGATTTCCTGCCAGTGCTATGAAAACTCTGACTTTTGTATTTGTAACACAATATCTCTATCGGTTCCCCAATCTACATCTACAATACTGTCTACTTACTGGCAATCTTATCCCATAGAAAATAAAGTGGAAAAATCCAACAGATCAAGACAAGTCTACAAAGGACTTGGCATAAGTCGGCTGGTGGCTTTATGTCCCATAAAGTTAAAGTTAATTGTGTATCCTTTAAATGACCTTGCAGAAATATCATGCCCCATAGAGGCAGAAATGCAGGACTCGGGTAATGATTTATATTTGTTTTGTTAATGGCACCGCTTTTTTCATTTTATTACACCTAACATCTCAATGGCACCGTTCTAATTTTTGTCTTTAACTGAAGGAAAAGCAAGAAGGGATCGCTACAGGTTACAGCTATCCTTAGAGACATCCAGCAAGGCAACAATTTCAAAATGATGGCCACCTTCACTTGTCAAGTAATTTCCTGGTGACCATTTTACACTGGGTCTGCCCCGGGGGCTGGTTATTTTTACAATCCATCTAAATAGGGATTAGAATTAATGACCACTTTGCTGACAAGCAAAAATTCTAGCCACTGTGTTACGGTGGTTCCCTTTTAGTTTAATTGCTTACTCATTACAATTATTAACATTTTTTGTTGGCTGCTTTACTGAAAATCAATTTTCTGCTGCTAATTTTGTTTCCCATAAACATCTGGAGAATTTAGGTTATGGAAGATTGCAGGTTGCACATTTCTTGATCTCATTTTCTGCACAGTATTAACAGTACGGTTTCTGCACAGTACAACATATAGAAATAGCATCTGCTCGTAACCCTATAGACTGCTGACATAGCACGAGAAATCAACTGAAAAGCACTGACTGGCACTTATAAATACAAGAAGGTAGAAGAGAGAAGCAGGTGTCAAGACATAAACATTGAAAGGTACAGTGTGAATACATTAGACATTGAACCTGTCGCTCCAACAGATGACATCGCCATGTGGGTTCCAGGTTCCCATTGTGGAAGAACAAGAATAGACTCAATGCCTGACAAACAAGCATGTCATAAAAGTTGACAAACTCAAGGCTTCCTTCAAAGTCAGAGTGAATCTGCCTGAGAAGCAAGAAACCAACAGTCCGCATACAAATAAGCAAGATCTGTAAAACGGATGCACATGCAAAACTCAGGTCCTAGAACAAAGCCAAAGTCCAAAAATGGATGAACAACCAGGTCTTTCCGTCAGGGATTTCAGCCGGCGAATGCAAACAACAGCAACATATGATAGGAACTTACTGAAGAAATAAATGTACTTATGTGTATGGACTACTGCTAAAACACTGCCAACTACTGCTTGTTTTACTACTGTTGTGGTGTAGGTAGGGGAGTCTTTAAGCCTGAGGTTTTTAGAACCCCATGGCTAGTGCTGTCAAAATGGACTGTGCAGGTTAGGATTTTATTTTCGCCCCCGACAGAAAAAAAAATCCCCAACCGAACTGAGGATTCGAACCCAGGTCTCCTGCATAAGAGTCCAGCGTTCTTAACCATTCATCCAGCCACTCCACTAGGACTACTAGGAAACCAAAAAAAGATGTCTGCTTTAGTGAGGTCTATCATCATCTTCAACCTAGAACCATGAAACAAAGACAGAACTTGTGCTCAATTCTCTTATCGCTACTTCTTTCCTTTGTTTCTTTCAACGAATGCCAATCAATACCTTTTTCTATTTCTGATTCTGTTAACTAGACAATGTGTACAATTCAAATATTATTTAATAGCTTTGCTGAAAGAAAATATGCAACAGAAAACAGACTCCCAAACATGTTCAAAGTAACTGTTGCCACACTAAATGTGACACTGGTAACTTACACAGCTAACAGATATGGCTTCAAACACAACAACCTGGAAAATACACAATATGACAAGTAGTAATAATTTGTAAATTTCTTTGTTGTTCTAAATTTGCACAGCACTTAAATATACTAAAGTTGTTTTTAAGAAAGAAGATTCATTTCACTGCCAAGATTTTCTTCTTCTTTTTCTGCATTGGTCCTTAACTCTTTGAGTCCCAGGAGGCTTAGCATCACAGGCCCAGGGGGTAGTCAAAAGAGTCAGAGTCACGGGGGTAGTAAAAAGAGTAATAAAATAGCGCATCATGCGTTCATTAGGCAGGAACCTATGAGCATATGATGCGTTCCTTGGGACTCAAAGAGTTAAAAGGGCAGTTGGCACATTCTGTTGTGGTTTATAGCTAGGTTGTGATACATGCGCCTTACAGCCCAACAAATCAACAAACCCCTAATTAGTCAGATTTTATATGCTTTTTAGGGGGCATTGTGTCTATCCACCCCCAATTCTAACCCGTAACCATTGGGGCACAAACAGATATTGGTAATGTGTGGGTCACAACAGGTTTTCCCCCCTCTATATTCATTTAGAGATCTGACAATTTCACAAATATGTTAAGACGGACTGACTTGGGAATCTACAATTTTCCCTGTGTGGTTTCTGGGGCCCTACTGAAGGGGGTGGAGGAGGCAGGGGAGTAGACCCACTGTCCCCACACAAAAAGAAGTCATAAAGGGTGATAATTAAGGACTGCTGAAATTGGATGTGTTATGCCGTAAGGTGCAGATTTAACAGCCTAACTGTGAACCAACCACCCTTTCGTGGATGAACACAGAAGAAGAAGTAGAAGAAGCTACAATTATTACAAACCTTACATTATTACATCAGCTATATTTTATTTAATAAGCCATAAAAACTGTGCCGTTACTTACATCCCACAAGGCATATAATCCATAGGAAAAAGACACTGTATAAAACAACAGCTGCCAACTGAAAAAATAGCAGAATTTGTAAATTTCATACAGTACATCGTAGAAACTTCTTTTGAAGTTGAAATGAGTTAACAACAGCTGTCACAGTACTCAAGGCATTCCCATGAGTTCTCTCTCTATATCTTTAGAAGCCATTGTACAATTCCAGTGTGTTAACTGCAGCCTGATTATTTGCTCATCTTGCTTTTCCTTTGAGTGTTGCCAGATCCTCATGTCACTCACCTTTGTATTTCTCTTTTCATACCATGGTGATCTGTTTCATCCTTCAGGTTTTTTACTACTCCTTCTGACAGTCCCTGCTGTGTGGTATTGGTCACCATGCATGACCACAACCTTTTGTTTCATGTACTGTCAATCATTTCTAATCATACAGATACTCTTCTACACAATGATGCCAAAGTGTCCAATATCTCTCTCTGGTCTCCCTTTGCCTCTTTTCTCCTCCAGCTTTCCTGCCAGTATTTAATATTACAATGTTAGCTAACTTGTTTTCTAGTTCTGATCCTCTGGGCACATTTTACTTCTATGTTTATGAAGAATGGAAAGGCGTGGCTTTTAAACAAAAATTGCCGCTTTATTTCAAAGTTAGAAGGTTAGTTGCGTATCCTTTACAGGACGTTGCAGAACCAACCCCAACAGCCCCTGGCTGTTGTGTGGATTTTCTAGGCAAATTTACGTCCAGTAGTTTGCCACTGCTTTCTGGACAGTCGGCTTTCTTGATACCACTATCGAAACCAATGCAAGAGGCATGGCCCACAGCTGGGATCGAACCCAGCATCCCGTCATTACGAAGCGTTCACTTTGACTTAGCCACAGAGCCGACTACTTTATCTCAAGACCATACAAATTATAGCCTGGACAGTGAAAAAAATGTCAAAGAAACTTGAATGGCATACTCTCCCTGAGTCCTGTGATAATGGATTTGACTTCTCGGATAAAAGCAGAAAACTAGAATCCAGGTGAAAGTTCCACTAATAAAATTTCCTTTAAGAAGTAATTCTAAAAACCATGTCAAATATGTCACTACTTTACTTTTCGACTCGTCCTTCGAAGATAGGCTCTCTACCAACTGAACAAACTATTTTAAGGATTTGCTTGTGACTTGTTGGCTTTTAGGCCAACTCTACTTACTTGCCTTTTATATCATGCTTGGTGGGTTACAGTGTTACTATTTTTTGCTTCTTATCTCTTTGACTCCCAAGAAAGGCATCATGCACTAATCGGTTACTACACAACCGCCCAATCGTTACATGATGGGTTATGTTTTTAACTGACCACTAGCCGGTATAACAACGCAAACCGGCAGTTTTTGAATGGTATTTCCTGTTCTTCGTGCTTGAAGTCGCACATGGTGACCATATGGGATATTCATAAATATGGTTAAAAACATAAAATATAGCATGTTTGTGAGCTTTACTGAGTTATTAAGTGTCTGTGTGAAAACTGTATGGCCTCCGAGCAGACTTCTTCACATATACCAACACAATTTATGACTTCAGAAGCCTCATATTTAAATATAACCCCTGAGATTTATCCAAAGCTGGACTAAGAAAGTTATGAAGTAGACTTGTTTCAGCCATTGATGGAGTCAAACTTAAGTGAGGGATAACTCTGAAATATACCAAACACAAAGCCTACAACGATAACAAAGTTAGCTGATGCAAAAAGAATTCATTTTAGTGATAAAAAGCAATATTCGTCAGTGTCAGTTAGGTCTGGTGCAATTCCCGTATTATTTGGGAACATAACCTATAAAATTACGTGCAAATTGAGTGTTATATAGTTTGTTTTTGTGACAATACTAATTGTTTTCAGAGGTAATAATTCTTCACCAAAAAAAAAAGGTGCTCTGTTATGATATTCTAAAAGTTTCTTTGGAATGAGATATAATGGGTAAATTGTGTTTATATTTTATTTATACATTACGAATTGGTTTATGTTCATTTGCAATTCATTCTGGATACATTTCATTGAGTTTTCTGTGACTGCTATGGTGGCAAGTAGAAAAATTATAATTTCTGTTTACTAATTTCTATTAACATACCATCTATTTATTTAATAATAATTAACTACTAACACAATTTATTTTTGTAGCAGTATTCTAATATTATTCCTAAACAGTCCCTGCTCACTCTGATGAATAATATGTGTATGGTGTGGGGCAGTTCAATTTGTATGATCTCATTTAACGTGTAACATCTGTGAAATTTCACAGCTGCGTTTCCACCCATTGGGCCTCCGATGCTAAACCCCTTGCGACTAAAAGAGTTAAGCTTCAGGACAACTCTTCACAAAAATCAGAAAGAGTCAAACATTTAAGGCCACACTCTGAATAGAGAAAAAACTGGAATATTTTGTGTCAAGTTGCGAGAGATAGTGAAGGTCGAGAAGAAAAGCTTCTTGGCAGGCTTTTGTTGTGGCATGGAAGGGCATCAAAGGATATGAAAGAATACATGCTGTCAGAAACTGTGAAAATGTGGAGAAGCATGATCATGTCGTTGGATCATGTTATAGATAAACTTCTAAAATGAATTTACTGTTAACCCTATCACACCATAAATCTTTCAGTAAAAAATGGGTCATGCACCAGTAAGGATTTCCTAAAAAAAAATGGAAAGCTCTGGTCATTTGCCCCCACTTCTGGTCTTGTTCCAGAACTTGAGTTTTGTGCGCACAACCATTTTACAGATCTTGTTTACTTGTGGATAGACTGCTGTTTCCTCACCTCTTAAGCAGATGTACAGTGACTTTGAAGGAAACGCCCCTAATTAGTTACCCTTTTACAACAAGTTTGTTGGGGGCAGTGTGTCTATTCTTTCCCCCTCCTTCCACAATATGGTGCCCCAGAACCCACATGAGGAAAACTCCCGGAACCCACACAAGGAAAACTCCCAGAACCCAAATAAGGAAAACTCTGGAACCCACATAAGGAAAACACCCGGAATCCACATGGGGGGAAAAATCTAACATTAAAAATTTCTTTAGGCAACTCCGAAATGAAAATCTTTGCAATAAACAAGATCAGATCTTATACTATGTCGTTACCTGCATTCTGTGAATTTGTACATTGAAGATGGCACTTCACGTAGCCTTCTCTTAAACAACCACCTTTGAACTTGTTTCTCTGTCATGTTCAATTGCTTTAATAGTTTCTGAAAAAATTTCATCATTATAAGTAACTGCAAGCTTAGGGCTTACAACACATTTTCCAACATTCCTGTGGCCCTAAATCCTCAGACTTAAGACCCTCCCTTGCTCTTCCTAGGTCTAAAAAATGGTTAAAAAAGGCTGTAAGATCAGCATTTCTTCTAAACATTCAACAACTAGTTTTCCCGTTTGGGTTTCGGGGCCCCATTATGGGGAAAACGAGAATAGACTCACTTACTGCCCAAAAAAGCATTAAGATTTGACTAATTAGGAGCTTCCTTCAAAGTTGGAGTGCATCTGCCCGAGCGGCAAGGAACAACCAACTGCACACAAAAGCCAGTAGAACAAATGTACAAGTAAAGCTAACATATAAATGGATAAATACCCAGAAAGAAGAAGAACTAGCTGAAAAGAAATAATACAATTTTTATGATCAGTTTTATAATTCTGCATTAACATTTCCTCCTGTGTAGCTTTATGTATAAAGGTTTAAAAAGAGGCATGGTGCTGAAAATAGGGTTGACTGCTGTCAAGCTGACAAAGAAAACTAAATGAATAGAACATATAATATGACAAAGGCCTTCACTAGGTTTCCTAGTCCTATTTTGTGTTACATTCACTGTTTAAAAAAAAAACGAAAACAAAAAGCTCCTTCCATTGAATGAGGCTCTCAAACGATACAGAGATGTTTCAGTTCTACTAGCCCTTTATCCACTCCATAACATTCCAGCAAGCAAATGGTAGGTATAAGTTGATATGCTTTTTCTAATAAAGTCTATAATCTCATCTTGGCTCCCACAAATATAACGATGGCAGTTGTAACAAAGAGATCAAGACAAGACTTGGTATGGCAACAGCTGCAATGTCCCAGGTGAATACGATGTGGAAGAGCAAACTCAGCATCGCAGTCAAGGTCAAAATATACAAATAACCAGTATTGTCTATCCTCTTATAAGAATGAGAGAGTTTTTGACTATCATTGTGGAAATGGAAAGGAGGGTTCAGGCTTTCGAATGTAAATGCTACGGACACATTTTACGAGTTAGTTATTTAGAACACAAAACTAATAAATATGTCAGAAACAGAATATAAAATATTGCGGGACATCAGAAGCCTCTCTTGGCAGTGGTGAAACGTCACAAGCTAGCTTGGTTTCGGCACGTGGTGAGACATGATTCGATTGCAAAGACTGCTTCAAGGAACATTGGGGGGGGGGGGGGGGGGCAGTCGAAGTAGAGGAGGACAAAGAAGAATCTGGAATGACATCAAGAAATTGACAGGACTAAGTTATCATACACTTATTCCACTTATTCATCAAGCAGAAGACAGAGAAAGGTGACAGGTGAATTTTTGTACACTACACTGTATGTTATCCACAAAGCGCTTGTAATATGCATGTATGTAAGTTTTACCCCTCCAGGACATCACACAAAGCATCATATTAGAGACAACACTGCAGATAGAGATAATCTATTTTAAGGGAACAAAAGAAGTATTTAAATTGTCTTTTGAATCACTATGTAATTTTATGTATTTTAGTTCAAAAGATTCCTTTTTGTGCTTCAGTATACATTGATTTATGTTTGTCGTACGCATATAATGGGATAAATAAGAAGTAAGGCAAGAACCCGAAAATGAGGAATGCTGGATTATAAACAGAGCCGATAAAATTACCTGTCCACTTAAGAGGAACTGTTTTGTGATGGCAAACCATACTCTGTGAATACAAAGAGGAGAGGAATGAACAGTCTGAGTTAGACCAAAGAACCAGGTGAAAAGATAGCATAGAAACTCTACAATAATATCAGAACCTATGCTCTAGGTATTAAGAAAACTGTACAAGAGCTCCCCCTCTTTCTTGAGACTCAAAGTAGTAAAGAGGAAGTGAAGGCAGGATAGGTACTACTGCAAAACCAGATCAGTTGATCTTTACAACCCGCATAGAACCCAACAAAATAATAAACTCATAAGTAAAGCTGTGATTTAGGTTACAGGCATGAGGGAAAGTTAAGGCTGTTGTTTGTGATCCTCATGCAAAACACCTGCCACATGTTCTTATTATGTGCTATGGATAATGGCTCATACTGGCCTAAACCAAGTTGAAATAGGATCTCAGAGTTGGTGGCTCCAGTGATGTAGTATCGAGAAATCCTCTTGCTCTCATAAGCCCCCCCCCCCCCCCCCCACCCCCCCCCCCCCCCCCCCCCCCCCCCCCCCCACCCCCACCAATCATCGGTGATAATATCTATCAAAAACTTATTTGAAATATGAGTGAAGCCCACTGGCCAAACATCCTACTGCATGACAAACTTTGGTCCAATCATCTGCCGACCAAATGTCCTATTAAACTGATGATTAGGCTGATTTGTTGGGGTGATAAAATCAGCTTAGTGGCCACTTTATTGACACAGCCCTAGACCATGAGATCTGTTCTCAGCTTAGACATCTCCTGTGGGCATTATCTCATGATTCGGTCCTACGGCATAAAAGCAAAGTTTTGGATGTCCGATCATGACAGGCAAGCTTTAATCCTCCCACTTGTATTACGTCTACCTCTTTCTCTCTTGCCTACTGCTTTGGCTTTTTCAGTTTCATTACTCATTGTCCAGAGCCCGTGGGGAAGTGGTAAAGCCATCTGAATCTCATTCTGAAGGTCATAGGTTCATTTCATGGACTGTGTGTTTTGGTTCACAAGTACAATGGTTGAGATCTCTCAGGGCTGTGACTAGAGCTTTGCACGACTCTCGACAGAAAGAGACCAAGCCAAATGGGACACAACCTGGTGCAATGAGGTCATTCCTTCTGACTTTGACTTTAACTTGTCTAGCCCCTGCATCAATATTAACACAGTCACAGGCAATGTTTCATCAAAGTGGACATTTATCTTCTTTATCACACTTCCGTGTGACATACTTGTGTTGTGCCTGTTTACAGTATAGGTGCGATATTTGCGCCTTTCGGCAAACACATCCAGCTTCATTGGGCATTTGTTCACTGGGTTAGCCTTCCTGGATAGTTTCATGGAACATGACATAGCCTTATTTGTGTGGTGTCTTCTTTGTCTCTTTATCCACAGGTGTTGTCCCTAGAGAACCCATCCAGGACAACTGCATGTAGACTGGTCAGCCCTATAGGAAACGCAGGGGCAGATCATGGGCATACCCCACCATCCAAGGAGCTTCCATAAATACAGAGCTGACATATGACACTCTGGTCTTAAGTTCATTCACACAAGGGAATCGTCACGTCCTCTGCACACAATCAGCTTCTCACTTCATGGGATGCACCCTCTAGAAATCAACAGGGAGAAGCCCACAGGTCTGGAACTTTGATGACTACACAAATGGGCACAATTTTCTTCAGAATATTAGACACCTTTAATGTTGTTGTATCAGGACTCTCAGTGTAACAGTATTGGAAATACATGCAATTTACAGTTGGACATCTGAGACCTGTCCGTCAAACGGTAAGACATCTGTCAATTAGACTTTTGGTCCTGACACTCAGATGAGTGAGTGAGGAAACTGTTATCAGACACTTGAACCTTATTATCAGGAGATGTTGCTCATCTAGGAACAAATCTCAAGATATATGGCTGGGACAGCAGTTCGCAAGGGGGTGGCTGCTTAGGGTTACAATACGTCGACACCTGACTAAGGCATATCTCACACTTTGCTGTTATGATGTAGGACACTTGACTGATGGCCAATGGAGCATAATCAATATTTCTGATGGACTTTTGGTCGTCAGACATCTGAACTAAGATTGGGGGAGGGGGTGAGTATAATCATACACACCATGTCTATATACTATGCAGCTGCAGCTAGTACCAAACTGTCATACAGGCATAATGGCAATGTCCAAACGTATCATGTCAACCATCATCATCATAAACCACTTCTGCCGTTGAGCGTCGTGGGGAGGAATAATTTGTGATGAAGTGCACGATGGCTGCCACTGGCTATTGTCATGCCGTGAAGGCGTAGTGTCTTTAATGTTGTCGATCCATGTTTTCCGGGGCCGTCCTCTTGCTCTTGTAGCTGATCTTCTGAGATGTAGTGCTTGTGACGGTATTTGATCTTGCTGCAATTTAACGAGATGGCCAAACCACTTGATCTGCTGTTTCTCGATGAATCTAGTACAAGGTGTCCTTCCCACAATTTTCATGATAGTTTCATTATTCACTCGATCTCGTATGGTTAGGTTGGCTGCTTTTCTCAGACACCTCTTCTCGCAGGTGGTGATTTTGCGTATATGGGCTTTAGATAGTGTTCATGTCTGACACTGGTAGCCTAATGTTGGAATGAATATGCTATTAATAATCTGTCTCTTTGCACTCATAGTTATGCTTGGATGTCTTAATAATGGTGACAATTGGTATATAAGTGCACTTGCTTTCTGACATCTGGTTTCTATTTCTCTGTCTTCAAATTCCTCCATAATTCTTGAGCAATTTGCCGTGAACCAAAACCTATAAAAGCCAGACAAACAGCTTTCTCTTGGCGTGAGGGTTAATATATTATTATAGGCTCATGTCTCTCATACTATTTCAAATGTCATTTGTAATCGACTAAGGATGACTTTCTAATATTCTAGCTTCTGCTTCTTCTTTTCCTCCAGTTGCCTCAGCAAAGTGTTTGGTAAACGTAAGGATCTTTTGTGATCTGTCTGTAATGTGCTGTGCCTGGTCTTCATTAGGATTATTCTTGATGCTGTCATTCAATCTGTTGAGTTGTCTTCTCTTTGCTCGGTGTTCAATATTTCTTCAATGTGGCTCTTTATCGTAACTGGTACCAGAGAATTCTTATCAGGTGGTCACATAATTTCACCTGTTGCTCTTAAATGAACCGTCTAGCTGGTTTCAGTCCTAGTCCTCTTCTATTTTGCTCAGTTTAAATCTTATATTCTTGTTACTCCTTCAGGTCTAAGAAACCTAATTTCTGTTGTAATTTTATAGCATGTTAACTAAACATACAAAAATAAGATTATGCTCACCTCAATCTCA